TACAATCCTCTTGCAAATTCTGCCTCAACCGAATGACCGACTGACATGGTGGGGGAGGAAATGCTACCAAAAGTTAGTTTCCACAAACTCTGCTCTGTAATCTGTGCCACATTTAATTACCAGAGGTTGGAATTAGAGAGACGACTGTAAAGTGAAAGCACAAAGAAAACAGCACATTGATGGAAGAAAATAACCAAAACACTATCCTACCTAGGTAATGGTAACGAGTAAAATTATTTAAAGGCAATAAAATGAAAAAAACAATTTTAATATAGCAATGCCAGCTTTAAATATTTGAATTATTTAAAAAGAGCTAATCTTTGTGCCTCTCCCACCCCCACATAAAATTATTCTCCACCTAGGATACATATTTTAATAATTCAGACTTTGGTTCTTTATCTAGCAAGATGCTGTGTGCAATAGTAATCTTCCTCCAACCTGCCAGCAGATAATCTACATCTTTATGCGCCTCTAATACAGGGATTATATGAACTTTGGCTTCATACATTTGTATCTTGAGCAGGATAATCATCTTTACACTTGGATTAAATCAATACATACAAATCTACAATATATTTCTCACTCTCATTCAACCTTTGGTACAATTCATTGTTCACTATATATATATACAACCATGACAGACAACACTAGGGTGCAGGATGATAATGTTTACAGATGGGTTCATGGTACGCTCAATTTGTATGTACATTTTCACAATCACCAACTCTCTATAAAGGTTAAGGAATACGTGTTGCATGTTGTGGATATTGTGAGTATCTCCAAAAAAAAAAAAAAAAAAATGTCTTTCCATAAAATATGGCATTAACACACAAATGACAATCACAGGTTAACAATGAAAACATAGTATACAGTGGCCATTATATCTGGTTTCGTCTACCACCCATTTCTCCATGGAGTTGTGATCAGATTTCCAAAATCTAAAAGTCACGCCTGCTATGACTGTTAGGTCACTGGTCACATTTATTTTGTTCTTAAAGGCTGCTTAAGAATTTGACAGTGTGCTTGTAGTCAACAGAGTTGTCCTAATTCAAAGAAAATCACTTGCAGAAGCCTTTCCTTAAGAATATTAGACTAGCAATGATTTTATTACATAAAGCCCATCTTTCTTATAAAATTATATGCAAATTAACAAGATGTTAATAAGCAATCTTATATACATTTCAAATTAATTGACTTTTCTAATCTTAAAGCAATTTAAATAAATTGCTTTGAAATAAACTGTGGGATATACAAGTGCATAAATCTACCATAAATTATTTATAGAACTGCGTTCATAAATCAAGTTTTGAAAATGTGTTCTAATAATGCAGACAAACAAGTTTGGGAAGGATTCTATAGATGATGCCAGGCTGTAATAAGATAAAGATAAAGTAAAATTTTCTTTTAACTACAGTGTACTGCATTACCAATTACTGCACTATCAAAGAATATAAATATCCCGAGTCAGACTGCACTGTGACTAATCGGTTCTATACTATCAAATTCACACAACTTTAGTCGCAGAAATAAGCACGACGAGCCGATACCCTAAATTACACTCGCTTGAAGTTTATCGAGATCGGGCTTACGGCTTATGGACCCTTTCCTCCGTGGTAATGTTGAAGGTTGGGAGGTGATGTTGGATGACAATGGAAGAGTGGAGTGGCCGAGTGCTGGCGTATGAGGGGTCATTGGAGGTGCTATCAACCCCGTGTCTGGGCAACCATTTTGTAGCAAAAGATCAATGACTTCCTTATCACCAGCTGTTCGGGCATAAAATAAGCTGGACCTGCCCTCAGCATCACATATTTTTACACTTGCATTATACTGCAAAGAGAAACTTTCATCATTAGAATGAGATCTATAAACCATTTAATGTGTCAAACAAAATATTTTTATGTTGAAGAAAAATACCAAGGTCAAACAAAGAATCAAAATAAGATTTAATGGTTATGATAATTTACCATTAATATTCCTCTTATGAAGATAAATATGATGAATACAATTAATGTAATATTCCTCTTTGTGAATAAAAAAAATCTACACTTAAATTTAAAGCCAGAGGTTTCTAGGGTTGAATGACTGGAATATTACAGGGCTCATTAAATATTCCAAAGGCAACTGGTTCACCAGCCCCCATCACTTTAGGGTTCCTAGAGAAATGTACATTTTAAGGAACACAATTTGAGAAAAATATTAAACTTTTGAAATTTTTCAACAAGGTTTATAAAAAAATGTTTAATTGGAAAACTCTTCTTCACTCACCCAGAGCAAGATCTGTACACAAGGCAAGGAAGGAAAGGCAGCAGCTAGGTGAAGAGGGGTCCGCAGGTCCCGGTGAGGGGCGAGAGGATTGTTTACGGCATCACCAGCATGGGGCAGCAAGGCTGTTAGCCTCTTGACATCACCACGACAAACACATTCTACAATCTGGACAAGAAATATATCGTCATTTTCAATTCACACACAGCATACATAATTAAGTAGGGCACCTTCCTTTTCATATAGTTAATTAATACAACTTTCATAATAACTAAAGGCACACAAGTTAACATGCCATAAGATTTACATGGGCAATATCTACACGGCAAATTTTAAACCCATTGTACTTTTAAATATCCAAAGAAATAATAAAAATATAACACGTGTATCTGTACAAAATAAAGAAATCATTACTCACTTGTTCGTGCAGAGGAATGCCAGGCTGTGGGGGTGCCAAGAACTCCTTTGCTTCATATTTGGCTCTAATCCAACGTTCCTTGTCCTCACGACTACTCCGGGGGCTAGGTTTGGTCTGGCCTCTTAGATGTGCTTCCCATATACTATTACCCACTTCATTTCCAAGTGACATCATCACCGAGACAGGGCCAGGTCTTAAAAAAAAAAAAAAAAAAATTAGATGAATGATATTTTAATAAACATCAATTGGAAATTGTGGCACATTGTAAAAGCTACTGGAAAAGTGTGCATTATGCTTTATGTGAAACAAACAGGTGGTAATCCTAAACATGATGCTACTAAATGCAAGCCTTTTATAGGAGACAAGAATTTAAAAGCAGTCAATACAGTATATATGTATGTATGCAACAATGATCACTAAAATACTGATCCAAGTACAAAACCACATTTGAAAAACAGAATGCTTAATGCGTTTTCAGCCAATTCGCCTTCATCGAAGCAAAGTAGAATGAAGATGGAAACATTGTTGATCAGACCTTTTATACCCACCAGGGAAGATCACCTGACCACCAAGAAAATGTGAAAGGAAATATAAGAAAGAAGGTAACTGCAGAAGGCCTATTGGCCCATACAGCTATTAATATCCAGAACTAGAAGATGCATAAAAGTGCCACACAGATTAAATGGATGCTATATTGTATTTACGTGCTAATTCAAGGCTTATATGGGGATCCAACTTGTACATACCAGGGCTCACATTAAGGCTGCCGTTACAATGTTTGATCAGAGAAGACTATCACATTTCGTTCAACAACAACTACTTTTAACAATAAACTTTGCCCTCTGAAGTCGATAGAATACAGTCGCATAAACTGTAATGTAAATACAATGCACTGGAGTGCTGGGCTGTACGAATAGCATGAATGTTATTTTTAAATGCGAGGAAAGGGACTTACCTGTCTGACCGATTTAAACGCATGCACACTCATTACAAGGGATAGAGTACACACAACCTGCTACAGATGAGGGCGAGTTCTTAATTAGCGTGGACTTTACTGTATTATCATTTTTAAATAATGGGTTAATATTAAGGTTTTTCAGGGCTGGGGCAAAATGTACTAGACCATCAAAATATGGTAATACCCAAAGTCTAAACCAGAACTAAAAAACACATTGGCATTACCATATTTTGATGGTCTAGTACATCTTGCCCCAGCCCTGAAAAACCTTAATATTAACCCATTATTCAAAAATGAGGCAAAGAAAGAAAGAAATGCATGTACACCTGCGAGTATGTGCATGTACGCATTCTTGAATCTGTGCTACTCAATTACCACAAAATGAGAATGAAATTATGTGGGAGATCAAGAATTTAGTCAAAGATTGACTAGACAAAAAATCTGGCAAAGACAAGGAATAAAACATTAGAATAATTAAGCTACTGTATATTAAAAGGAGTTCTTAAATTAAGGTAATATGAGAAATTACATTAGCGCTGTATTTGTAGGTCAATATTTGGTGCAAGAGTGCGATTGGTAAATGTGTGCCAAGCATGGTGTACAATAGGTGGCATTCACTTGCATACGCATCAGTGGTCAATAAATTGCTCTAGTGCAATACAATGTACATTTCACTCAAAAGTGAAAAAAATATTCATTATAACTTAGTTTAACATTAGCTTTACTACTAAATTTCCTATAAAGATACTCACGGCCATTCATCCAGGTCTAGTGACCTCACTTTTGATATGTGGGACCCCAGGTTCCTGTGGATGCCAGAGCACTCTATGCACATCAACACTCCTAGGTTGATGCTGGCCCACTCCGGATCTGTAAACAACACCAAATTAAGACATGGCCAGCCCACAAATGATAATTAAGAACAAAACAGACGACGACGTCTTCGACGACGACGACGTCTTCGACGACGACGACGTCTTCGACGACGACGACGTCTTCGACGACGACGATTTATTATTATTTATTATTATTTATTATTATTGTACGACTGATTATCAGCATTGTATATTACAGTGAACCCAAACTAACCCAACGGAACATAATCCAAACTAACATAACGAATGCCTTGCTGCACTTACTGGGAGCATCACAATCAACACAGTTAAGATTGCCGGGGACTTGATTTTTTATGGTCGATATAGTTTGTGGGTCAATTGGATGCGCTTGTCGAGTTCTACTCTTGTTGGACTCGTTACCCTGCAGCGAGCTGAGGATCTGCTGCTCGATGACTGTCACCCAGTCATCTCTATCTTCCTGACTCCCTGCTTCAAAATGCCATTGTTTATTGTCCAAGGACACCAAACTGAATTCGTAACCATCCGAGTCTAAAATATGAAACGTAGGATTTTAGAAAAAAAAGCAACAAAATTACAATACATAAGCAATACAAAACTCAAATTGCAAGCTAAACAGTACAAAATATGTAATCTAAAATATATTTTACTGCACATTGATACAATCTGATATTATATAGTAAGTAGAATTTTAAGAACGAGTTACAGAAAGGGATGCCCGATTCTTAAGAAAATAATCGGCACCATAAACGCTTTAAAAAGTTGACTATTTGAAACACCCACTGCACTGTTGCCTGGTAGTTTGTTCCATATTCTCCATCTCATAATTGCCCTTTCAATAAATACATCCTACTCTTTGATTTAAATTTTTCTCTATTTGTGCACTTTTCACTATTAAAGTTTCTTCCTTTCTGCTTCTTTGTTTGTCAGTTTAAGAAAGTCCTTATCTCCCTTCACATTCTACTGCCAAAGCAGTAATTTATGAATATTTCTCATCTATGACAGGTATGTAGAATTATTGTAATTACTCTTTCAATATTTACCATGAAGTGTACACTGTCTTGGAGCAAAGACTTCACTATCACAACCCAATAAGAAATACTTTTGATGCATGATACCTCCAAGGAGAAACATTACCCACGTTTTCATAGGAAACCTGTTTGACCAGGCTCTAACAACTTGCTTGATCAAACTGATAAGGTATAAACGTTCACCGTTTAGCCTACATGTCTCTGGACAGATGCCTAGCAATATGCATGATCAAGAAGAAAATAAGATAATAAATGCATGATTAATATAGATCAGAGATTGTCAACCTTTTCACGCACTTGGCACACTCAAGGTACCAAAGTACTGTAATGAAATTGAAGGCACACCATCAGATTTACTTTTATCAGTATAATACAAGCGAGAATATTTTCCCCAAGATATCAATCTCCTTTCAAATGAATGGGCAGAAAATGTGTTTCTTCAAACTCCCTTGCCACACTTGTGGACTCCTTTGTGGTCCACACCTGTGGCCACTCCACAGCACACCTGTTGAAAAATGCCAATTAGTTCAATAAATCTCACCTTCACATTCTGCATTTTTATTTCCACTACTCTTCATTCTTCTGTGTCTCTTTTTAACATTTGGTGTCTCAATCTTGGATGAAATGCTAGCAGAATCCAGACCATTGACTCCCGCTGGGTCATGAAGAGCCTCGTAGGACATCAGAGTTACCTACAATACAATGAAATTATATTAATACAAAATTAAAATTGTCTTAAATGCTAATGATAGAAGTGGCATTATCTCAAGTCCTTGCTGGTTCCTTTTCCCTAATGCTATTTTGGAAAATATCCTACAAGTAATCCTTCACTTTCTCATTCCTTTATGTATGCTGTTTACCTAGTACTCTAACCATTCTAAAAGTCATATCTACTATCCCCTTTTATTCTATTATCTAGAATATTTCCCATTTGTTAAGCAGATCACTACTCTTGGGAGATTTCTTTAGGGTTTGAAATTCAGTTTACCTTACCTTTTTTCTGAGGATCAATGTGCTTATGGCTCATCACTAACTAGGCATCCAGGGTGCTCTTGGAAAACATGATAGTGTATCTTGTCATTATTGGTTCCCTAAAACACACAGCCCATTCCACCACACATCTATCTCACGTCAAGGACTTTCAGTTGTCATACGATGCTGCTGCTGTTTTTTTTTTTTACCATTCTTTACTTTTAATCTTTCTAATACTGTACATTCTTCCCCCATGCAAAGCCCTCCAGGTTTTTTTTTTGTAATAGTTATCACTCCTTTTTCTTTTCCCCCTTGTTGACAAACTCTTGTGAATGCTTTAAACCATGCAGTTCTCTTATCTACATATAAATACACAATGTAATGATCAAAACTTGCCACCAACACAAACCCCTCATCATCATCTACCTATTTCTTCATTGTCTTTGTTAGTTTGGCACAGTCAACGATTTTCCTTACTTTCTCTATGATTCCTTCATGAACAATTTTAAAATACCTTACATTAAAAGAATGCCCAGGCTGAAGACATGATACTTGCTTATGTAACAATGAATACACCTGAAGACTACTTTACCTTATCTTTATTTGATTGTAAGGGACCACCAAGGGAAGTTCTACCAGCGAGAGGTGGCCCTGGAGCACCGGTTGAAGTAATGTTAAGTGTGTGCATTTCTGAAGAAAGGGAGTCGTTGCCACCACTTCCAGCCACAACCTTGGATCCTCTTGGCTTCATGCCTGGAACTTTTACTGTAGTATACTGAAGAGAGATTTCTTTCCCATGTACATCTTCCATGTAATCCTGTGAAGTGAAAAATATCGTCAGTTAAAGACTTTCTATACGTTATTGCTCTACAATCTTCATGTAGAGAATTTTATTCCCCTGTATGGTAAAGAAACCATACTAGACAAGTAATTTACAATAAAATAAGCCATAAAACTGTCGAGAAATTTATTTCAGCGATATGAAACACTGCTATTTATTAAATCTTGTTTTAGCTTTCTTGTATTTATAAATACAACATTAAATATAAGAAAACTCACATGTAAACTAGGATGATAGGTTAGTCTTCCATTGTCACACAAAGTGACATATTTCTTTTTCCAGTCCTTATTGAGAGCCTTGTTAGATTTCTTGTATAAATAACCTTGTTTTATAGGAATGGCACGACCACTTCCTACTTCTCCATTTTTACTCTTGTCCTTCTCGTCACTTTTCTTTGAAGGAGTGAAGAGATTAGACTTTCTCCGACTTTTCCGAGAAGTAGTTGGGGTAGAACTTGGAGTGGGGAGATCTTTGTTTTCCCTTGGAGGTGGTATGGTGTCTGTAATAATGGGAGCAGGAATGGTAGTCGGTGGAGGTGGAGGCGCCATGAAGGCTGCAGTGGTGACGGCACCTGGGGCACTCACGCGCTTGAAGCCATCATCACGAAAAGAATCTGTTCTTGTCATTGCAGTCAACTCTGCTCCACTGCCGTGACTACTCCTTAGTGTTCCATCCTAAAAGGAACAAATATTTTTAGCCTTTAAACAAAACTTTAAAAAAATAGTTGCCCTATGCACAGAAAACTTTTAATTTACAATTATTTAAATTGTCTCCTTAACCAATCCATGACTTTGTTGATCCACAAAATCCTAACTTCAAAATCATTATGCCCATCTATTTCTCCGACATGACTCTGAATGTGTGTACATTTAGCCCTGTACATTTGATCCCAATAAATATACATGGCTGTGTTTATCAAATGATATCCTATCTATAGAGAAAAAAAAATTAAAAAGTTCATAGCTTATAAAGGGCCAAATATTAGAGATACAAAGATACACTAGAAGATTTCCATAGTTGTTTGCTTGCATGCCGAGGACTATACAGTACTGTAGTGACTAAGTATATTCACAAAGGCTTCTGTATACAGTTGCAGAGTGGTAGGTCAATAGTATAAAGCTCATGAAAGCAATCGTCATCAAAATATCTCTATAAAATCACAATAAAAGATGACTGTACAAGTTGGGGGATAAATAATTGTCCAAAAACTAGGTAAAGTATTCCCCCCCCCAAACATTTTGATAATGATCTTAAGGAGAGACCTACCTTAGTGATTGTGTTGGTATACACATGACTAGGTGAAGAGCCCGATATGGGTGGGGTGACCTGCTGGCTTGATGCAATTTGTGGGGTAAGGGGTGCAGAGATGTTGGAATAGGGGGCTGGGGTGTAGCCGTTGTTAGTGGAGGGATAACGCAGCAGGTGTGTGGGGGTTCCTGGTCGAGAGTTGTTGGGCGTTAGACCCTGCTGGCTCAGGCGCTGAGCCACAATCTTTGAACAAGCTGTTGAAACAAATAATCTATTAGGCAATTGAATACAGTATATATATATATATCTAACATTTAAAATGGTACTGTATATATAATGCCTTTCCATTCATCAAATTAATCACTTGATGAAGGACATTAAAATATGTTTACATGGTTATACTGCAGTATATCAATACAGTATAGTACTGTATATTATGATATACAGTACTTCAGTATAACCATGTATTACTGTATTGCAATCTTTACATGTGGAATCAGATTAACATAAGTAATTTTTTTTTGCACATCACTTAAATATGAGCATTAACAAGTTTACAAACTCGTTAACATCAGGCTTTGGTATTTTAATGTATCCAATTTACTATATCCACTTTAAAATAAGTGCATATTCTCCACTTCATTTAAATACTGTACTTTTGTTACATGTTTTTTATCCTTACTACTCAAAATACTAATCTACACATGATTTGTGGGTAGGATCTAACAAAAAAAATCTAAGTATTTGATATTGTCCTGTTCCACATTTTGTTCTGGAAAGCAGACCATATTAGAAAATGTTCAGTGCTATCTCAGGATTAACCAAAGAATTATCTACTTAATATACTGTACACTAACAAAAAATAGTCTGGATACAGGTGAATGCGGTGCTGTGCTATTTGGATGCAGAGTAAACTAGGGTACGAAATATCTGGCACTAAATGAGCCATGCGGTGGTAATTTTTTCCATCGTGTATCCAAACAGAACAGTACCTATAGACATGAAACTAGCTTACTTCCCATTAGGCCAGAATCCAAATCAAGAATCAAAGTTAGATAAGGGATCATTACAGTATTTAGACTATTCTGAAATAAGTCCTGAGAAAGCACTTCCTATTTTCTAATAATGTCAGTTTTTAAAAAGTCGTGTGCAACTGAACCAAGTCAAGAAATGTTAAGTTTTTTTTAAATAGACACCCAAACCAAACTTATGAAACTAAAATGACAACATTTCAGTCTACTGGATCAATATTAATGTGTAAAGTAACACTGCTTGTATGGTATTTCATAACATTTGTTTGTTATAAATCTGATAATCCTTTTTATAGCACAGTATATTTTATTCCTGTAATATAGTTAATGTGCCTGGACTGGATTTACAAGAGAATAAGTACTGTACAGTATGATTTAAATATTAAATATTTTATAAACTTAAAAATATTAGTTTATAATCGACTGCTGGGTTTACAGTAGTTGCCGTATAAGGGGAGCAAGCATTACGTACAGTACCAGCAAAAGCCGAGAAAAAGAAAACAGTACACAGTATATACCGTACTAGAACTTACCATCGTGGAATACTCTCTCAACATTGAGCCCATAGGTGGCACAAGTTTCATAGTACGAGCAACGCTTGAGATCTGATGCTAACTTCCTGGCACGTCCATCATCTATAACACGAGGGTTGTTCTCGCTGATGGCGTCTGAAATGTAACAAAAGTCATCACAAGCCGATACTCAATATACCCAACAAAAACAATTTACTTTGCATATTCTTTTCTTGCATCCTAAATCCTTTATCAGGACAACTGGAGGGTGGCCTATGACAAGCCCTTCGGCTTCCTGTCCTTGTTGAGGCCACTAAGAGTTGTAAAAATTAAGCACTAGCATAGTATTAAAATATATATTACAATGAAATTTGGCCAAAATTTGACTTGTCAACACTTAAGCCTAATAATGTGGAAACAATATGGCATACAGAATGTCAATAAAAACCATGATAATTTCATCAATAACAGCAAAATATGGTTCAGATATGCTGACGACAGTTTAGAGGCAGGGTTGCACCAACATACTATTAACTGCTGGCGCCATTATACTAACAAACAATACGGGACATTACCGTCAAAATTAATACACAACAAATTCCAATTATTTTTATATTATTATATTTTTTATATCAATTATATTTATAATTATTTTTACCTCTCAGAATGTTTGGTAATGTGTTTATTTGTGATGTGTGTATGTATATATTAACACGTTGTACTGAATGGGGTGAGAATAGCTTGAGCTACCTCATCCCTTTGTGTGTATTTTACCTCAATAAACTTATTTCAATTTCAATTTTCAATTTCAATTCCAATTACCGCATGTCCTAGGCCTAGAGGCACAAATAGGAGATGGGTGGTCAGACAAGAATCTATGTAAACTCTTCTTGCCCTCTTTCACACCTCCCATTTGTACAGGTCCTCTAATATGCATGTCGTGTCCGACAAAACACATTATGGACTTGACTCTACAAGAACGCCCTCACCGGCCGCCCACTTTCAAGGACTTCCAGCCTTAAGAAATTACTAAACTAACATTAACAAACCTTTACACAAGTAAAACGTTGACATTAACGGGTACCGTCACAACCTTCTAGCCCATTGTTATTTTCTTCCTTTATACAAAACCTAAACATTATTTGTGTAGACAAAACATACACGAACAAGTATTCATTAACGTCCTGCTCAGTCATCCTCTTCAGCCATCACTTTCCCCCTGTAGCCCCCTCCATCGCCCACCCTTTTAACCCCTTCCATTACCGTCCCCTGTAGCACCCTCCATTACCTTTCCCCTGTACAACCCCCCACCCCTTTCCAATAGCCCCTCACACAAAGCATGTCTCCTATCTGATTCTAAGGTAATAAATACCATATCTTTTGAATGGCGGGGACGTTGTGGCGAAGAGGCCTTAGAACGTAAGCGTAGACCACACCAACCCAAACACTATAATACAAGCCCAAAACTATTCCCAAAACCGACCCACTATATCGCCATCAATACAATACAATACAATTTTATTTAGGTAAGGTACATGCATACAATAAATATTTACAAGGATTGTTTAACTTATAGGTATAGCTAGTACATACAATGCCTAAAGCCACTAAATCAGCCACTAAGCCTAAAGAATCAGACACATCACAGTACGTGCCTTCGCCGTGTTTTATTAATGTTCATAATAAAACAGCGCAGTGCGCTATGAACCTGCTGAACCACCTTGGGGCTAGGTTTCCACATTCTAATTTTTAAGATTTACAAACAGTTCGCAATAACACAACTTCTAGGTAGTGTTTATCAAGCATGTACTGTGCTTTGTCCCTGGTGCGACACCACAGAAGACTTATTGCTTCACATCGTTCTGAACTTTTACTACAAGCAGCAGCAGCATCGTACGACCCTCCCCTTTCCCTCCCGTTATCAAAGTAAGAGGTCTAGGAGGACTGGGCGTGCTGGAGTGGGAGGGTCGTGAAGTGGACGCCACCAGCCAGAGAGGAAACCTAAGACCCAAGCCACAACCCTCGCCTCAACTTCCAGGCGCACCTAGCCCAGGTTAGACTTGCACAATGTCTCCCAGATGCTAACCACTAGCCAACTGGCATTTCGGGTGATAATATGACTTCGAATCATTATGAGGGGAAATAACGTCATCGAGTCTATAAAGTTGATGAAAGGGCAGGAAGAATGTTGGCTAGTGCATACCTCACTGGTTCTTTCTATTAAAAAAAATATTTAGCGTAAGAGGCCTAAGCGGAAGTCGGGAGGTTGCCTCGTGAAAAGGGACAAGAGGCCCTCCAGGGGATCAATAAGCGGGAAAGTCTCACAATGTATGGCAGTGGCGCTACTGGAGGCTATTATGTAGGGTGTGTGGAAGGGGAAGGAACGGGACGGTACAGGGGTTGTTACTGCCAGCGGGCTGCATGCCTCCTGCCTCCCCACCATCATTACCAGAATATCCGTCACCATCTCAACACCGCACCACACTGACAGGTGCTGGCCGGGCTTCTCCAACCCCACATGAAACCAAGACAACCCCACACTAGTGCATTCCATCATACATTATGGCCTCTCAAGATTACAGGCCAAATGCATTATATATAGTGATGCAACTAACAATACCAGCAAAACCTTTACAACACTAGAGTACTGCAAATTTAACAAAGGCAGTATTCTAGGCAAAGGGGTTACCTCAACTTGTGGGTGCTGTGCGTGCCGGTATGTTCACTCTCGGGACGAGTGATGCTGCCCAGTAAACTCACCCTTTGAGGAAAAATATTTACGCCATTTCTGTTATACAAATGTCCCATCTTTGTTTTATTAGTAGCCTCGGTTGTCGGTGTATATATACCGATACATTAGTTTAGTTCTGAAATTCTACAGCTAAGGTACATGCTGGTTGGTGACCAACCTCACGTCGCTTATAGGCCATAAAACACGCGCTCCTGTGCTTACCCATCAGTGGCCATCTTTGTTGTAATTTTCATTAAAATTTATATATTCTAATGTTCGAATTTTGTGTCGAATATGGCCTTAAATTTTGTGGGTAGAGGGTCCGCACCTTGTCATTATTGCTTCGTGGAGGGAGGGGGGGGGCCCCCCAAGGATGTGGAAGGTGGCACCACGACTAACCTCACACAAAACCTAACAAACACTAGTGCATATTTACAAGAGAATTAGGACAAATCCTGCAGGAAGAGCCTGATCAAGCCGGGTTGTAATGGGTACGAGAGCCGGTCCAAGCAACAGCCTTGTAGATTAAGTTATCACAAGACAAGCTTGGTTCCTGGTCGAGATTTGACGAGTGGAATGCTCGAAACAGACTACAAGTAAAGCTACAAGTGACAGCTACTGAGGGTGGAGGGAAGGTAGCGAAGCAAGTAAGGGCATGCCAACACCAGCGCAAAGGTTGTGCGCCAGAGGAATCACTGGAGGTTTGTACCACTTGACAACGCTACTCGTCTTGCAGCTTCCGCCCACTCTACTTACGTACCCCTCCCCCCCCCCCAACACCCACCCCCACACTTACCGACTCCATCCCCACTATGGCTACCCCTAAGCACCACTTCAGCTGCACAGCCGATGAGTGAAAGTACTACTTCACTGGATAGAACGACATCTCAGTGCACTCGCTTTTCTTAACTTCATTAAGGAATAACTGACAGCGTCCAGGAACCAGGGAACAAACGCCGAGGAGCCCTGAAGGCGCCGACAAATTGAATAAGACCCCAATTACGTAGTGGCGTGTGCTGGTCTACAATGGTGGGCGAGGCCGTGCGCTGGCACGCTAAGGACCACCTCCGCCTGGCATTCATCTCTTCTCTGATTTCATCTGCCCCTCTGCTTCCTGCCTGGGCCGCCCCGACGCGCACACAATATCAAATGGGGAAACTCCTGGTGGGGGCTGTTGACCTCCTCACACCACGTACCTTTGTTGCTGCCCAATACATTTTTCCAGTACTTGTCCGGAAGGTAACTTGCAGAAGTGTCCGTTTAATTACTATTTAACGTTTCATTTTCCCATTCCCAAGTACATAATTGTAATCTACCATCGTTGAAAGTATGATTTTCGTTGCTCACTGGAAGACTTTTTCTACTTAATTGTTCCGCGTCTTCCATTGAGCCTATTTTTATAACCTATATAGCCTATAATATAACCTATTATATAGCCTATAACAGTAGGCTATATTCATGTCCTCGGCGCGACTCTCCGGCGTGACAAGGGGGAGACGCAGGAGTCAAGAGTCCCGGCGAGTGGTATATCCTGCAGCACCGCACAAGGCAGCGGGAAGGCGCACAACGTGGCGGGTCGGCCAGGAAGGCGGTGATTGAGAGCGTCCGGATACAAGGGGCGCTCAGGATGTGGACGCCGCCGCCGTCGAGGATTATGAAGTTTTCTATGTGAATAATGATTTTGTATGAATGTTGTGAGGAGGTTGGAAGCGAATATTGACGAAGATGATGCGACGGATGTTACGGAAAGAGGAACTGATGAAAAAGAAGCCAGAGTGGGAGGGGGTTTGAGGCCCCCACACGGATACAGCGGATGTTTCAGGAACGCTAAAGTATGGGTATGTCTGACATATATATGTGAGGGGGAATAAGCGTGATTATGGGCGAGGGTATGCACATACAATGGAGGGAAGGAAAGGGCAATAGAGGGAGGGGAGGAAGGGGCAATAAAGGAAGAAAAGTAGAGGGGTTAGCACCGCCAGAGACGAGGAAAGGGACACCAGTGGACATGGGTAGCCTTTAGGACACGGGGCTAGGAGGAGGAGAGCTGTACAAGATGTCAGCTTTACCCCCAAACCACCTGAATTATGGAGAGGAAGTGACCTCCACACCTGCTTTCAAAACACCAGCGTGCGCGCACGCACACACGCGAGGACAAATGTAAGCTGGAAACGCAAGAAAGCAAGACAGGCAAGAATTCTGAGAGTACCCATGCCCAGGAGGCCTGGTCGACAACCGGGCCGCGGGGACGCTAAGCCCCGGAAGCACCTCAAGGCAAGGTAACCCTGTACTGCTGGTATATAAACACGAAATGCACTAAAAACCGTCTTGAGCGCCACCATCAAAAATACGACGTGCTATTGGGAGAACGGGTTGGCTTAGTACATAACATCCGGCCACACTCACGCACCTTATCTGTGCACAC